TTTCCCCAGTGCTGCCCCCGTTAAACACGGCGTGACTCCCCCCGGAGCCCCCCTGCAGGGGCAGCCCCAGCCCCACGGAGCTGGCAGGGGACAATGGCCGGGCTGGGGGGGAGGCGGCCCAGCTGCTCAAATATCCGTGCTTGGGATTGGCTTTCTCCTTCCTCCTTCACAAAGAGGCCTCTGGTCTTTCCTGCCCCCTGTTTTAACCTTTAGAATCATGGAATCGTTTCGGTTGGGAAAGACCTTTTTTAGGTAATCAAGTCCAGCTGTTCACCCAGCACTGCCGAGGCCACCACTAAGCCACGTCCCTGAGCACCACATCTACACAACTTTTAAATACCCCCAGGGACGGTGACTCCACCACTTCCCTGGGCAGCCTGTTCCAGGGCCTGACCACTCTTGGCAAATCAGTTTTTCCTCATATCCAGTCTATGCCCGGCACAACTTGAGTCCTTCTCCTTTCATCCTGACGCTTTCTGCCTGGGAGAAGAGACTGAGGCCCACCTTGCTCCAACCTCCTTCCAGGTAGTTGCAGAGAGCAGTGAGGCCTCCCCTCAGCCTCCCGTTCTCCAGCCTAAACAACCTCAGCTGCTCCTCATAAGACCTGTGCTCCAGACCCTTCACCAGCTTCATTGCCCTTCTCTGGACACGCTCCAGCACCTCAGTGTCCTTCTTGCGGGGTTTGCGTGGAAGGAGCTGCCCAGAAGGAGAAGGAAAGCTCACTTCATTTCCCGCCCTAAGTCCCTATGGCAGGGCCTGAAATCTCATTATGGCTTCCTTAAGGAGCTCTCCCCTTGCTCTGCTCCTGACCAGAGAAGCTGAGCCGTGGCAAGCAGTGCAAAAGGCCAGGGAGAGGAAGGCAGGATGGCTTTCCTCATGGACGGGTGGGTGCAGGAGATCCTTGTCTTCCAAAAAAGCCTTGCTGCAAGAGCAGCTGGCAGGGAGCCATGTGCCCAGCAGCAGCACTGCCCGATCAACAGCCAGGCAAAAGGGAAGGACAGATGGACAAGAAGGATCCCAGTTAAGAAGCAGCAGCTCCAGCTTAGAGACCTCCTAGCATGTGCCCTGGAAACCACAGCTGCTGCCATGTCCCTTCTGGTCTGCTTGGCCTGCCTCTGTCCTGCTGGGGAGCCTTGGCAAGCAGAGCTGATTAATGGGATGCCAGTGGAGGAGGCATCACCATCCATCAGGATGAGCTTTTTTCACTGGGAGGGCAGCGTAGTGCTGGAGCAGGTGGTGAGATCTGTGTCCTTGGTGGTTCCCAGGGCTCAGCTTTGCAAAGCTGCACTGACATGACCCAGTGACAGGACAGCCCTGCTTGCAGCAGAGTGCTGGGATACAGGCCTCCAAGAACTCTTCCCATCAACACCCCTGCTGTCTCCTAGAGAGGGCAGGGCAGTGTGGAGTCTTCATTTTTTTTCCTCACTAGTGATACTTGCTGGGATAAAGGATTATCAAGATAGGTTCCCAGATGGCTAAACCACCTTTTAAAACCACCTGCCTTCCCTCTCGTGGGAATTTGCTTAGCTATAACATCCATCCATTGCCAGTTTGAGATGCTCCCCTCTCCCAAACTGCAGACCCTCTTACTAGCTTTAACATCCTCCTTACAAAGGTGTTTTGGAGATGAAACCTGTCCAAATTAGCTCCACAGCTTTCCCTTGAGGCTGTTTTTTAATGCATAGCTCACATTAGTTTGTGTATTGCCCCACCTACCTGCTTTCCTTCCCTCTGAGCACCCCAGCACTGCCTTCTCCCTTGCACCAGGCTGCTGGAACATTTCAGTTTAAACTCTCCAAGTCTTCCAGTTTCCAGGGTGCTTCACTATAACCAACACCTGAAGTGGCTTTTATACACGACCAGAGGCAGGAGTGGCAATGGGCACACAATTTTGGGCACCTTCCTGCCTAGAAAATCTGGCAGAGTTAGCTGCCTAGATTTGGGTGTGAATGGGGAGAAACTGGCACAAAGGAACAGCTGCCAGCAGAAGCTAGGTGATCATCACTAACCAACACACAAAAGTGTGGCTAAGTATCTAACAACAAAGGAGAAAAAGGATTTCCCTTTAAAAAAAAAAAAACACACAACAAAACCAAACCAAACAGCCCAGGAGGGAGTTTTATAGCCAGATCTTGCATGTGAAGACAACTCCAGGTACTGCAGCCAAGAGCCAGGACCCAACTGACCTTAGTCTTCTCAGCAGTTCCCCATTGACTACATCAGGCAGGTGGGACTTGCAGGCATCATTTTCAGGGACTCTCCACATCCTCTCTAGCAGGTATGGACAAGCCTGAGAGGCACCTCCTGATATAACCTTGGCCATTTGTGGATTCAGCCCTTACAAAAGTGCATATATCGATGGACTTTATGTGCAAACAGAGCGTGTGCTTGAGGATCTACATTGTATAATTTTATACCCCAGTCCCTGAAACGTGCAGCACAGGATTTCAGCCCTTCCCTCTGGATACAGCCTGACACAAGACAAGACAACCACAGGCTGCCTGCCCAGCACAGAATAGACATTACAGTGCATGACATCACTGGAACTAGTGACTGACCCGCCTTGTTGGTGGGGTCTCTGCCCTTCCCACCAGGCACTGTTGTCCCCAGAAGTCTTCCGTTTCCTCCCTCTGCCGCGCCAAGGGTGCAGCAGCAGCACCTACCTCTCCCTCCTGGCTGGCAGAGGTGAGCTAGCAGCACTGCAGAGCCTGGCAGGCAGGAGCTGCCAGCTGCCCATCTTAATCACACCCTGATAAGGCTTCTCTGATAGACTCATTCCTCTCCATCTGGGGGGAGGGTTTGAAAAATCCCCCACCAGAAGCAAGACCTTACAATGCCATGATATTTCTCCCACCACACTGGCAGTTACTAACACAGCACCTCACCTCTTCCATGCACCAGGTTTGTTTCACATATTTCTGGCCTTGTTTAGCCCAAATCTCTTTACAGCATGTGGCAACTCTGTTGCAGAGCTGCTTCCCCATATGTTGGGGTTTTTTTCCTTCAAGTCATTAAATGTCACCCCAGTAAGATTTGGGCAGAGCACAGTGGAACATAATGTGTCACAACACATGACACTGACTTCTCTCAACTGGCTTTTAACTCATGATGGCATTTTTACTCCTCAGATTGGCTTACAACCCTTGCTTTGACTCAGCTCTTGCTTTGCTCTGCCTTAGCTCTCACAAGCCACCTTATCAGCAGTTTTCAGATACTCAGATGCATGGAAGGGAGGTTCTGAAAGATCCTCCCTGGTAGTTGCATTTTCCCAAAAATCTCAGCTTTCAGGTAACAAAGGATTCCCAGAGTAAGAAGGCAGCTGCACACACAGGTCTGGTGTGACAACCAGCCTCGTACCAGAATGCAGAGGGGAGCCACCAACCTTCATCCCCAGCTGCTGCACCCCCACTACCACCTCCAAAGCTCCATGGCAGGATTTTGTGTCATGCTCAATGTGATCCCTCTGAGCAGTGACAACTGAAACAAAGAGCTGAAGGGGAGCAAAGCACCAAAGAGATCTAAAAGCTTCCTCTGTCTCTCCCCAGCTATAACCAAAGGTTTACAGGCAAAGAGAATGGAAAGTGCTCGGGAAGAGGGCAAAGTTTGCCATGGGAAAAGCAGCACCTGTTTCCACCTTTCAGAGGGGCTGACATTATTTAGAGATTCACCAGAAACAAGTTATGCTGGGAACCCAACCAACAACTTCCTATCCCTGCTGCTGGGGTTATCAAGATAAGCTGTTTATCAGGCACATACACTAGCATAGCACCCTCAATAGGCTCAGCAGCAAAGCAGGACAGGTCAGCATCATTCCCAAAGGACAGGCTCATGGCTTGCCAGTGATAAAGGCCCTTCTAGAGATACAAATCACCAGGTAGCTGGAAGGTGGCCCTATGGCTCCAGTTTGGAGATTTCTGCTAAAATCTTGTATTTTATTGCTCCTGGGGCAATCTTCTAGAAGTGGAAAAGAAAGGAGGTGATTCTTCCCCTGTACTTAGCTTTGTAAGACTCCACCTGGAGTGCTGTGTCCAGTTCTGCAGCCCCCAACACAAGAAGGACATGGAGCCCCTGGAGCAAGTCCAGAGCAGGGCCACAAAGATGATCAGAGGGCTGGAGCAGCTCTGCTGTGAAGACAGGCTGAGAGAGTTGGGGCTGTTCAGCCTGGAGAGGAGAAGGCTCCAAGGAGACCTCACAGCAGCCTTCCAGTGCCTGAGGGGGCTACAGGAAAGCTGGGGAGGGGCTTTTTACAGGGGGTTGTAGCAAGAAGACAAGGGAGAATGGATTAAAACTGGAAGAGGAGAGATTTAGGTTAGGAGGAAACTGTTCAGTGTGAGGGTGGTGAGGCACTGGCACAGGTTGCTCAGGGAAGTTGGGGAAGCCCCATCCCTAGAAGTGTTCAAGGCCAGGTTGGATGGGGCTCTGAGAAACCTGGTCTAAGTGTCCCTGCCCAGGTTGGACCTAGATGATCTTTAAGGTCCCTTCCAACCCAAACCATCCTGTGATTCTATAAAAACAATAAGGCTGGAAGAGCAGAGGCAGGGCTCAGCTTACCTGGAAGCTGGTGTTGCCACAAGCAACACAGACCTTGTGCAGTGAGGACCCAGATGAGGGCAACGAGATGCTGGGCAGAGCTCAGGACTCACCGTTGGAGCACTAAGGGGCAGGTGAAGCAGCGTGACCACCTCCTGGCGATGCAGGAGCTGCTAAGGTGGGCCAGACCAATGGTCCATCTAAGCCCAGAAATCAGTTTCCAGTGCAGAGCACATGCAGCCATCCCTCCTCAGTGTTCTTCCAGCTTTCCTTGTTTCACAGCTCATGGATCTCCTGAGCCAGTCACGTTTACCAGTCCTTACAAAAAAACCCCCCATTTTTCCCTTGTGCATACAACTAGGTTTTCAACCTGTACTAGCTTCTAGCATCCACCCTACCCTGCAGAAAGGAGTTTCATGTCTACCTACACCTTCAGTGCCTTTGGCAGGCCTGAGGGTTTTTTTTGTTTTGTTTATTAGAAAACAGCAAGCAGTTGTTCCCCTTCCATCTTCACCATGTCACTCACAATTTTACATGCCCTTTTATCCCTCCTTTCCCCTGGTTTCTTTTCCAAGCTTGAAGAGGCCATGACTCACTGGTCCTCTCACTGAAAGCATGTTGTAGATTTGGACGTGCTTGTCCTCCCCTGAATGCTTCCCATTTTTCCAATCCTTATTCAGATGGACACTAGATACGCAGTACTGAAGGACTGCATGCACTGTAATTTTATACAGGGAGGCAAAAATATTCTCTATTTTGCCATCTAGTAATTTATTTCCTAATAGCACCCAGCATTTATTTAGCTTTCTTCTGAAATACCTAGAAAAATTATCTCAGATCCTGTATGTCAGGCAATCCAGAGATCTTACCACACAAGCCTGGAGTGAGATGGAGCTCACACTGACAAGGGTGAGGGACCTGGGCTGATGTTGAAATAGAAACAGCCCAGACCCCTGCTTGTTGCATCTCAAGGAGCAGCAACTACATCTAGGTGAACAAAAATAATGTGATTGTACATCTCTGGGGCCAGCAGCAGCCCCTGCTGCAGGCTGGGAGGCCCTGCTGGGGACCAGCACAAGGGTGAAATGGGAGCATTCACAAGGGTTATCTGGGCCAGCACAGTGATGATAGGGAACTGGGGACCAGCACAGGAGCACTCTGCTGACAGGCACCACATGATACACCCTTCATCTAGGCAGACAGGATTTCAGCTCTGAGTCTTCACAAAAATCCCCACTGCAGCATGTAAGAACAGACACCAGGAATG